GAATGCCCATGCTGTTCCTGCCCAGGGGCAAATCTCCCTTCTCCCAGTTTGAAGCCATGCAATGCACAAAAAGTTTCTCTTAAGCCTCATTTCTGAGGTGATGGTGCATCTGGCCAGGACGTGGGTGTACTGGAGGTGCTACGGGCTGTCTTACCCAAAATACTGGCCTTTTCCAGGGCCTTTCTCGCAGCCATCGGGCTCTGATGCCTTCTGACAGTCCCTTCTGCTGGCAACCCTGCCCGATACCATCGCATCTGACCCTCGCACCCCTGTCCCACCAGTCCCAGCCTTGGTGGGCCTTTTCCTGGTTGCTGCCTGCCCCGGGAGCCCGGGCTGCTCCCACTGAGGCAGAGGAAACGAAGACCAGAGACCTCGGGCCAAGTCCCACCTGCTTTATCAGTGGAGACACGGCATTGCACAAGCTCTGGCTTGCAAACAAAGAAGAGCTGCACATCGCGGTGGCCCCGAGCACGCAGATGTTGGCTGGCCCTGGGCAAGGCCACCCTGTTCTGTCATCAATCGCATCCCTCCTAATCTCCACTTTCTGCGCTGCCTTCCCGCAGCGTCAGCTCCAGATCAAGGTCTTGGTTCGGTCATGGCCACGCCGGGTGGCCTTGGCTCAGCAGAGCTGCCAGATTAGCCTCCAGCGTTCACGTCCTGATGGCAGATGGACCTCTGGATGTTGGGCAGGGATGGAGGAAACACTAGGCTTGGTCCTCACCATGAACCTGGAGCCACCACAGGTTTCACCTCCTTTCCTCCAGGAAGCATCTCCTAGACGCTGCCTGGCCAAGCCCTCACTGGTGCACGCTGAAGGCATAGAGCAGCTGGTTCGGAAGGACCTTGGATCCCAGGGAAACATCAGGGGACACAGGGACACAAAGGGTCGGGGTGCTGCTCCTCGCGGGGTGCCTTGACTCCGAGCCCAGGTCAGCCTCTGGTTTCTCGCTTGGATGCAGGCATTGGTCAAGGGCAGAAAGAACCAGGCAAAAGCCACCAGAGATGTTTGCACAGTCACCCTGCTAGTTTTGGAGGAGGGAGGCAGCGCGTTGGAGCAGGGATGTTTTGGCATCTCTCCAAGAGGAAGCTAATCATACAGGTATTACTTCAATTATCCACCATTATGTGCCCATTACAGGTGCATTTTAAGCAGCCGTGGTGCCTGCAGCGACCGGAGCCAGCAGCTCCCTTCCCCAAGCCCCTACTGGTCATCTCATCCTCCCTTTGCAGATTGTGACCGGGCATCGTCCCCCGGGCACTGCCACCACACCGGACCAGCAGCAGCGGTGCTGGGCTCTGCCGCTTCCGTGGCTGGCAGCTGAAAAAGGTGTTTTACCCCCGAAAGGCAGTGCAGGCACCAGCCTGAAGCTTCATGTGACATGGGAGGAGACCGAGCCACCAGCTTGCCTCTGCCAGGGCGGGGTATCACAGAATCACAGAATCACAGAATGGTCAGGGTTGGAAGGGACCTCTGGAGATCATCTAGTCCAACCCCCCCGCCAGAGCAGGG